GTGTGTGTGTGTGTGTGTGTGTGTGTGTGTGTCTGTCTGTCTGTCTGTCTGTCTGTCTGTCTGTCTGTCTCTGTGTGTGTAGCCATGCACATGGCATCTGTGGAGCTCAGAAGACAGCCCTCATTATTGGTCCTTACCCTTTCATCTTGAGACCAGGTCTCTCTGCACTGTGTACCGCAGGTTAGGTAGGCCAGTAAGCTTCTTTCAGTTCTCCTGGGCCTTGGGAATCACAGAAACACCTACTGCTTTTTATGTGCTTTTATGTGTGTTCTGGGATCAGAATTTAGGTGGTCTTACTTGCCAGGTAAAGAGCCTTTCCCCACTAAGCCACTCCCCAGCCCCCAGAGCTTATCTGAACTGTCTGTTCACAGGCTAGCCTTATGCTATTCTAAATGTTGAAGTGTTACGGCACTGATTAGATTAATTTGAAGATAATTTTGTTCTCTCTTCCTTCTCCCTGCCACCCCCACCCTCTCTTTCTATTGTAGAAGGTGCAATAGTCCCTTCTTCCTCAGCATCCACTAGATGGCGATAGAGTTCAGGCCTCCAGTTAACATTTAAAACTTGGAAGTTGAAGTTTTCTAAATGTGCTGTGCCTTGGCTCATAGCCACATCTTTGCTCACGTGTTCCCACCCCTGACTGATACGTTATTTCCAAACTCAGCAGGCCCCCAAATCTCTTCATTTTAGCTGGTCCAAGTGCATGCTTGGCAGAGGCAAGGGCCTACGTTGTTATCTATATAGACAAGGCTGCATTGTAAGATGGTCCTCTGACAGCTACACAAGGCATGTGCATGCCACACCCCACACAAGAACACACACACAGAGATACACTTACTTATCACACACATGAAACTACAGGGGGAAAAATCAGAACAGGCTCTTCATTAACACCCACCTCCAAATAGCTTCCTGTCTCTCTGTCCTATATAAATATTTCTGTCACAGAATCATTCAGAGTTTTTTTAAAACCTTCTTTCCCCTCTAATATCTTATGCATTATTGGAGGAGGTCCGTGAGGATGGGGTCAGAATTCTGTAGGTTGTGTGTGCAATGCACTGGTCCACCTAGGCTGCCACATTGCAGTAGCAATGCCGCCCCTACCTCTCATTCTCTACAGCTTTGCACAATAAAGGTTGATTTCCCGCTGGGCATTGGTGGTGCATGCCTTTAATCCCAGCACTCGGGAGGCAGAGGCAGGAGGATCTCTGTGAGTTAGGGCCAGCCTGGTCTCCGGAGTGAATGCCAGGATAGGCTCCAAAGCTACACAGAGAAACCCTGTCTCGAAAAAACCAAAAATAAAAATAAAAATAAAAATAAAGGTTGATTTCCCTTTGTTCAGGGCTCAGCTGAGACTCTTCTCTGTGGCATCTTCACTCCAGGGTTGACACCAATGGAGAAGTTCCATACAGATCAATTCTATTTCCTGAAGCATGTGGGGGCAGAGCTTCCACTATGTGAATCAGCCCTTCCATGTTCTAGTGTAGAGCAGGTGTGTTACTTCTGCTCAATATTATAGGTGTGCTACTTCTACACAGAACTAATTGAGCATAATTATTTACATGGCCTCATTGAACCACAAGGGGTCAGCAGTGAGCTTCTAGCCAGGAGTGGGCAGCATTGACCTATAATCCCAGTGCAAGAGGCTGAGGCAAGATTGCTGCGTTTGAGTCCGTTCTGGACCCCCCAGTGAGACTCTGTCTCCAAACAAACAAAGGAATGCAGGACTATTTGGAGAAGACTATAACCGCTAGTGGCTTTCCTGATAGATAATTACTCAACTTAACATCTCTTCTTCCGGTAGGACACCCTTCCTTTATTTTCCCTCAAAGGAGAAAACTTAAAATTCCATTACCCACCACGTCAAGTTCAAAGTTTGTCAAGTTCAAACTTAACAAGCTCTGGGTGAGGTACAAGTTTCTCTAGCAGTGTGGCCAAGATTATATATATATTGCCATGCTTCTACACATCTAACACGTGGTAACGGGAGGCCAGGTGAACAGCAGTCTGCAGATAAGGAGGGGGAGGGGGAGGTGAGGCAGAGAGCCTGACCATTGTGTGATGGTGGATTTAAATTAGTCCACCAAGATAAGTGATACATAGGTATTAGGGAAGCACAAAAATAATAGTAAATAACCACCGTGGTCTTTCTGCTCCAGAAGATGCAGTCTTTGCCCTTCCGGGATGCTCTCACCACAACACAAGAGAGCAAGCCTATACTTTATACGGGGGGGGGTCAACTCTGCACACCTGAAGCCACGCCCACAGGGTATGGCCACCATGGAAAGTTCACTGGCAAAGCAAGTCGCCACTACAATTGGGGAGTACCAACCAGCAGGAGTGGTGTGGGCGCCTTCCCTTGGAGCAAGGGGGTGCATTGTTTAGGTAACTGTTCCCTTTTGAGAACTCAAGACTTGCTACAATATAACCTATTATGTCCTTGACTGATAAGATGCAATTAGCTGGGCATCATAGTACTTACCTGTTATCCAACCAATTAGGAGACTAAAGCAGGAGGAGGGTTGCCAAGAGTTCAAAGTCAGCACAGACTATATAGCAAAACCTGTCTCTAAATTAAGGTGCATGTGTGCACACCAAGCCAACAACTAGATATGTGTGACATTAGCTTACATGGAGGGCAGGTGTGTGCCATCACGCCTGTACATACTTTTACTTGTACATTTACTTATTTATTGGGGGGGGCACATTTGAGACTGTCAAAGAATAAATTACAGGAGTTGGTTCTCACCTTCCATCACGTGAGTCCTGGGGACCAAATTCAAGTCTTGCTAGGCAGCAAGAGCTTTTAACCACTGAGCTATCTTGCCAGACCTCCAATTACATTTTTAAAAATTTCCTTTGTGTGTGTGTGTTTGGGGGAGGAGGGGTGCCCATGCCATAGAACATGTGTAAACTTCAGAGGACAACCTGTGGGAATTAGTTGTCTCCCTCTACTCTGTAGGTTTCTGAGATCAAACTCAGGTCATCTAACTTTACCTGCTAAGACATCACACCAGCCCTCCAAACCCGTTGACAGTGCTACACTAATGGAATCCGCTCTGTAGTCTCATCAGTGTCTAGTTTATCATGTGCACAGAATCAGATATGACAACATATCTTACACCCCAACAACTGAATCACAAGTTTGAGGCCAGCCTGGGCTACACCGTAAGACCCAATACATTGCTTTTTAGCCCTTTGGCTAATAAAAGTGTACCATGTACCTGGAATGGGTAGTTTGGCAATACACTGACTACCATACAGCAACAGACAAAATGAATCGCTAAGCCAGGCTTACCACTCAGTTGCATTAAGAATACCCAGGAAGCAGGGCTGGTTGAACGGGTTGTGTTCCATTCTTTTCTCTTGGCAAAAGTAAATCAAATTCATAAAATAATGTACACAGAGATGAGAGGATAAGTAGCTAAGTAGCTTGAGGCAAAGTGAGCACTTTCATGTGCAGGGCGGGGAATGGAGTGTGGGATGGGGAAGGTAGCCTCTTTATCTGCCTCAATGGCACACGCCTTTAATCCCAGCACTTGGCAGAGGGGACCCCGTGAATGAGGCCAGGCAGGGTCACTTGTCCAGCTCTCCCAATGCATACTGCAGTATGTAGACCTTTAGTAGCTGACATACATGGACAACAAACAAACAGCCACACAGGTGGATAAGACAATGAAGACAACAGATTAGCCAAGGCCTGCAGGAATGCTTGTCCTCTTTTAGACTCAAGGGAGGGCTAGGGGCAGGCATTTTTTTCTTAGAGATGGATCAGTCCCAAGAAGACCGATTGGTAGTCTGGGAATTGATGCAACTACTCTGCCTTGGAGACAAGTCTCTTACGTAAATTGCATACTATCTACAAAGGACCCAAGTGTATCCTAACATTTACTTACTCTGAGTTACTTATAATACCTAATACAACAGGGATACTATAGTTGCTCTATCTTATTCTTTAGGGAGAAGTGACAAGAAAAATGTTTTATCATGGACAAAAATAGTTCAAATCATGGACATAATTTAAAAAATTTTTTTTTTCAGACCAGGTGGTAGTAGCCCACGCCTTTAATCCCAGCACACAGGAGGCAGAGGCAGGCACATCTCTGTGAGGACAGCATGGTCTACAGAGCGACCTCCAGGATAGTCAGGGTTGCATAGTGACACCCTGTCTCATAAATAGATAAACAGATAAATAAGGTTACTTGAAGATCTACGATTTAAACTTTCCCTTACTAATTTCTAGGGCAGACATGTCAACATGACACATATTACAAACATATATATTCACATTTATTGCATTAGAAAAATTCATTGAAGCCACACAGTGGCTGGATCTCTCACACCCTGAGCAGGTCTTATCATCCCACAGCCGTCTTTAGACATTATATACAAACACATTAGAACTACATTGGAGGAAGAACTCAATGCATAATTGGGACCTGGACACTGGATATTCCAACCTCTTTTCCTTACAGCCAACCCACAATCCCTTAACTGCTATCCAAACAGCTCCCATGGAAGACTCAGTATCAAACCAACTACAAGATACTTATGTCCAAGAGTCCTTTAGGATGGAGGGCTGAAAGAAGTGGTATCTCCCAACAGCTGAAACTGGCACACCTCCATCTCAGAGTCACACCCAGAGGGCAGCAAAACCTAAGGCAAACGTTGGAGATCGGAGACTCCATCCCACAGCCATACAACCCACTCACACCTCTACATTAAATAGGCCCTTTTCCAGGGCAAGGAACATCCAAAACCAAGGACCTTCCAGGCCTTGGAGATACGGATGCTGCTTCTTTGGAAATGGAACACTTGGTTGGACATGCTGAAGTTAGTGTACCAAAGTCTGCCTGATGCCTGGAGGGAGGTTTTATTGCACTCCTCTAGATGGATGGTCTGGAAGGCCTTTGGGAGGCTCTGTGTTGGCTAGCTGACCTCTGACGATCCAGGGGCTGCCAGGCAATGGGTTTTCCAGCAAGCCCTCCAGTGATTCCATCAGCCTAACGAAGATGGACAGCAGCGTCAATATAACCCCCAGCAGATAGAGGCTCAACATATACTTCATGGCTGCAGTGCCCAGCTCCTTCGCAGGGAAGCAGTTCTGCCTTTGGTTCTGAGATCCTGTGAAGAGAGAGGAAGAGTCTATAACCTGGTCTCTAGGGATGTGCACGCATCCTTCAACCCATTTTCCCAGGAGCAAGAAAGGCCCAAGTGTATTTGCACCGCACACTCCACAGCTGAAGAACAAATCAAGAACACTGCTTAGTACTGTCTTTCCCTCTCCTCACTCTCCAGAATCCTGCTCTGTAGCCCAGGCAAGCATCACACTTGAAGCAATGCTCTTTTGTTGGTGCCTCAAGTGCTGAGATTAGAGGTATGTCCCACACATCCAGCTACTTTTACAAGGCAGCTCACAATCATCTGTAACTCCAGTCCCAGAGAAATGACACCATCTCTGGCCTCTACAGATACCACACACCCATTATGCACAGCAAGCATGCAGGCAAAATGACCACACATACCACACACACACACACCACACACCACACACACCACACACACACACCACACACACCACACACACCACACACCCACACACACCACACACACCACACACACCACACACCCACACACACCACACACACCACACACACCACACACCCACACACACCACACACACCACACACACCACACACCCACACACACCACACACCACACACACCACACACACCACACACCCACACACACCACACACACCACACACCCACACACCCCACACACCACACACACCACACACACACACACACCACACACACACAAACCCCAAACCCACACCCCACACACCACACACACCACACACACACACACACCACACACACACAAACCCCAAACCCACACCCCACACACCACACACACCACACACACACACACACCACACACACACAAACCCCAAACCCACACCCCACACACCACACACACCACACACCCACACACACACACACACCACACACACCACACACACCACACACACCACACACCTGAGCCAGGCAGAGGTGGCGCATGCCTTTAATTCGAACACTCAGGGGCAGAGGCAGTCGGATTTCTAAGGTCAGCCTGGTCTACAGAGTGAGTTCTAAGATATCCAGGGCTACACAGAGAAAACCGATCTCAGAAAAAAAAAAAAAAAAAAAGAGGCTGAAAATATAATTCAAGTATAGAGAGCTTGCTGTAACATCACAGGAATAGAAAGAGCATGCCCACTGGGCGTTGGTGGCGAACGCCTTTAATCCCAGCACCCGGGAGGCAGAGGCAGGTGGATCTCTGTGAGTTCCAGGCCAGCCTGGTCTAAGAGCGAGTGCCAGGATAGGCTCCAAAGCTACACAGAGAAACCCTGCTTCGAAAAACCAAAAGAAAAGAAAAGGAAGAACATGCCCTAGATAAAGCAACCTGTATATCAGTCTACTGTATCACACATTTAATTATTATAAAATTCTTGAAAGTCAATATAAATATAAGTAGGGATGGCAAAGGCCTGTAATCCCAGCTATGAAGGAGGCCGGGGCAGAAGGAATGCATATTTAAAGTGGACCTGAGCTACAGAGAGAAATTAGAATATCCTTTGGGGGAGTTAGTGAAGCTTGTCTCAAAGTAGCCATAAGGGCTGGTAATAAATACAGCCCAGAGTTTTAAGCCTTATTATACAAAAACTTCCAGGTTCAATCCCTACTACGTCAAAACAGAAAGCAACAACTACAAAATAACTGGAAGTTAAATCAAGTTAATTTGTCCGAACATACTTGGAGGCTTTCAAATAACTCAGGCATTCTGGAAAGTACTTAGGGCCACGCGGTCGTCCTACAGACAAGAGGGGCAGTTACGACCCAACACTCTAATAGATATATTAGAAAGGCAGAAGATAAGGGTGCTTTGGGCACGCACGATGGGCGAGCATAGGCGGCTCATGGGGTTCATAGATCGGGTCAAACAGAGTGAGCAGAGGGAGGCACAGCCTTGAAGGGAGCGCAGGCAGCCCAACCGATGGGACGAGGGATCCAGGACTCGGCCTCCAGCCTGAGGAGATCCTGGCCCAGTTACCTCAGGAGGAAGAGTCGGGAGACGGCTGCTCGCTGTCAGCGGGGTCGTGCGGGCGTCAGGAGGCAGGTCCGCGGAGTCGCAGCGTGGAAGCTCCTCCACGTAGGCACTGCTCTGGATCCAAATTAAGTAGCAAAGGGAAACCGACGTCTCGAGGCCCCGCCCACTAGGGTTTAGGCCCCGCCCTTGGGGACCGCGCACGCGCACGGAAGCCGCAGGCCGGCTGCTGCGTTGCTCGTCCGCTGCTCGCCCTGCGCCTGCGTCCGCTGGAGCGGTCACCGCGGCTCGCGGTCGACTCACTGCTGTACGGAATGGGTCTGGCGTCAGGAGCAACCCCGGCCGCCCCCACCTTCTAGAAAACCAGCAGCCAAGAGTGCCTCTCCCCCGCCCTCCTCGTCACCATGCTTGAAGTGACGCCGCTCGGGGCGGGCAGGGCGTGGAAGCCCCGCAGGGAGGGGTTCTCTCTGAGCCCGTTCTCACTGCGCAGCCCGGGCTGGCCCCGAACCCTCCCGAGTGAAAGTGAAATATGCTCCTGGCATTGGTCTTGGCTCTTAACCGCGTTTGGGCACAGTACCTTGCCCTGAGTGGCTCCGGTCCCCGGGGAGGGCATCGGCTCCTAGACACTTCTTGTTTTCTTTCATTTAAAATAAACTACTTGGGCCGGGCGTTGGTGTTGCACGCCTTTAATCCCAGCACTCGGGAGCCAGAGGCAGG